CCAAACTATCATCCTGGATCTTGTGTGATAATCAAATCTATATATTGAAATAAACATTAAATTTGAGCTCAAAAGGATAAATCTCACAGTAATAAAAAAGGACTTGAACAAATCCAAAGCAATATTTAAAAAATTTGATCAAAAGGGAAATACAAAGGAAAGAGTACTTAAATTAACACCAGAATCAACTGCAACACAACTTCTAGCTCTAAACAACGACAGCATAATATGAAACCATAATATGCTTTCAAATCTCCTGAAAACCATCAAATTTAAAAAGCACAGACTGCAAATTTAAAAAGTGTTCCAATTTTTTTAAATCACCTTTAATTCATCAAAAAGGATACTATTGGAAACCATCAAATGTTACAGACTCTAAATTCATCTACTCAATCTAGTACAACAGTGTTTCAACTGATCACAAGATATATCAAAATATAAGATGCAACAAAAAATCCCTTGGAAAATCTGATGCCTTGCCATAACAAGAAAAACTACTTGGCATTGCTTGCTCATCCACACATATAATGTTCTAGCAAAAATTAAGACAACATAATTCAGTAAATTGAGGGATGAACTTGCAGTCACCAGAGCCACCAAAGCAGCATCCATGGTACACACACTGCAGCCTACCCCATTGATCAATCCTTCTTTCAGACAATGGAGCCAATCTGTGAGGACAACTATCATCAAACACTTTCCATTTATTCTCATTTCTATCCCACCAAATCACTATGTCAATCCCCAACACTCTCTTCCCATGTGGTCTTCTTTTGTCAAGATCACAAATTGGCGTCACTGGGTACCATTGTACAAACTAATCAAATTTCTCTTTTTCAATTTCCGTTTCAGTTTCTTGATCAGGGGATGAAGAATTTTCAGATTCCTCAGTAGATAGGACAGTTGGAGAAATGGCTGTAAAACTCTTTAAATTTCCTTTCTTGCTTAGAACTATAGGGACATGTGAAGTTAATTTCTGAGTTAAAGGAATCTGAAAAATGGGTTTAGCCAACAACAACAGTATGATCTCATATACATGCCAAGATTTTAGCCAAAACTCACTCTATAACTTAAAAAATATCTAATTGAGTACTCCATAGTTTTACATAATTCATGACATGCCAAACTTGAGGGCTCATAAGTACTGGTTCTGTCAAGTCACCCAATTGGTTACATTTCAAATAAATATATTAACACAAATCACTTTTGAATACTCAATCTTGTTGTAAAGCAGCTCTAAATAATGTGTAAGTTTTACTTAAGAAAATAAAATCAATTGAACGAATGAAAATGAACACACTGACCATTCCAGGAAATTGGCGATTACTCTCCACGAATTTCTGATTCGTCTTTGTGTTTTCCCAATTAACCTGCAAGTATTAGAAACACAACAATGGGTGCAATTTGTTACCTCCTTCTTATTGTGGTCGCCGACTCGCTTCTTTCAACTTCCAGTCACGTGTTCCTTCCTCACTTCATTTAAAATCATTAACTGTTAATCATTTTTTCAAGTACCAATTCTTCCATCCAACTTCAATTATTTACTTGCAAAATACTAATTTATTGTAAGACAAAAATCCAAACTCCGACTCAAGAAAAAAAGAAAGAAAAAACCTTTCTTGATGTTGCTAATCAAAATAAAAATAATTCCACAGGAAACCAAAAACTTGGCAAAATAAAATTTCTAATCTAAAATTCTCATTTAATACAACATTTTCCATCTAAGTCAATGTTTTTGCCCAAGACAAAAAAAAGAGCCTGTATATTCACCTAACCACACTTGCACAAATAATCACACAAAATCAAACGCAAAAATTCCTGATAAACATCAAATTTGTATACCCATTGCCTATATACAAATGGAAATCTACAGGCAGATCAAGAAACATAAATGGCCACTCAAAAATCAACTAAAACAACAAATTCACACACAAATTAAATCAAGAGCTAATAAAAAAATCAATGCCCGTTTCACGAATTTAAATCCCCCAACCATAAATAAATTCAATTAAATTTAAAAAATAGATTACATGTCGCTTCCATCCCTAACCACTGACAATAGATCAAACAGAGGGGGATTCGGGTAGGACCTCTCACCTGTAACGGATCGGTTGATAGAGAAATCGCTCGGTGTTTAATTTAAGTTCGAATTATTGTTTTATGGAAATGGAGAATTGGATTTAGTTACGAAGATAGGAGAGAGAAAGGGGCATATACAAGAGAGGGGGAGTTAACATCTACCCTTCCCCCTACGAATTCACCACCCCCGCAATTATCCAAGCCGCCTCAAAAATTCTGCCTCCACATCATGAATGAAATTATTTAACACCAAACAAATTAAAAAATTAGAGGCGAAACATGATTGAAGTTGACAATATATAGAATAGCAAGCAAATAAATGGAAAATAAATGGATTGCGGGTACCTGAGATCGGAGATGGAAAACCTGTGGAAGCTTTGGATCGTGGGTTTGTGAGATGGAAATGGAAAAGAGCCCTATGTTACAAGAGGGAGGGAGGGGGGGGGGGGAGAGAGAGAGAGAGAGAGAGAGAGAGAGTGTGTGTGTGTCTCATTTGCCGAAGAAGAGCATAATGCACTTCATTCATCC